AGCTAGTAACCAAGTAAGTCTGAAGGATCAGAAAAGTGGCCTGCAGAGTCAATTACAGATACAAAAACTCAGTTTACAAGAGAGCCAAAGGATCTGACAGTTGTCACTAAGACTTAGAAATAAAGTCCCTTTGACCTCGGTAAAGACTGAGCTTAAAAAGTCATAGACATGAGAAAGAAGAGGCCCTTCTTGTTTCCCCTGGGTTGGTAAGCAGGAACAAGACGTAATTCATTCCGGAAGTCATGACTACAAAAGTTGGTATCTGGGCAAAGTCCTTTTACAGCCTCTCTGGGCAGCCCATCCCCCGCCACGTCCCTGAAGTTCCTGCCTACTGGGGCTCCACTTTTTTACTGACGACAGTGCTTTAATGAAGACACCAGGGGGCAGAGGAGGCCGATCGTGGTGAACTAAGACTAATGGAAGAAGTCTATTCTTCATGCTGCCATGACAGAGACAAGACAGTCACCAACATAAAGCATACACTATAGCTCTCTGTGCAGTTCACACGGTAGTGCAGGTTGGAACAGGCAATGCAATATAACATAACAACATAATATAACACAGATCATGAGAGGTTTTAATTGTATATTTATTTAATAATGTAGCTTTAGAAAATACAAAGTGCCTTCTACCTTGCAAATTTAAGATATTGAGCTAGGAACAAATGGCCTTCCAATTGCTTTCTCTCATGTTCCAGACACATTATAGACTTTTACCCTTACTATAAATATACATTTCATATTTGATTTTCCTAATGTTTATGGGCAAACTGTTGGTCTTTGGAAGAATTGATCCAATGGCCTCACTGGCAGCAGGACACCAAAATTTAAAATCAGCCTGGGGAACTGACTTGTCATTGACATCCTCACCCTAGCGTTTGCTCAAACTATATACTAATCACTTAAAATATTAAATCAGTGTATGTTCAGATGCACAAGTACAGATTTAAGCTAGATTTTTATTTGAAAAGCTTTTCCTTTTATTTATTAAATGTTAGAACATCAATTTAAAGTAACTGGTAATTGAACATGGTAAATGAGCACAAGCTTTGGAATCAGCCTGCGGTTTGAGTTTGGGCTCAGCCAATAATTAACTGTGACCTTGGGCATGTTTCATTGTATAGATTAGGGTCTGAAGCCTGAAAGCACTGTCAATGAACTTTGCTTGCACCAGCAATTCCTTTTCATCAGTATTTAATTCCCTTGTCTATTCTTAAGTGATCACAGTTGGAATGAGCTCAAACCACATAAATCCATAATGATCTTGAACAGGGGAATCTTCTCCTTCTTCTCACTGGAGAGCAGGGGGCAGTAACAAAACTCCAAATTGACTGAGGCGCCACTGCCCGTGAGATCATAGAAACGAATTTTCCAAGGGACCCAGCAATTTGTCCTGAAAAAGCTAAGAAAATAAAATATAAAAAGTCGCTATTGAAATGAAAACTACAACGAAGGAAATGTGAGTTTAAAAATGAAAACAGGCAAGGGGCCCAAGTTCTTCTGATCGACCCTCCCCCCCCCCCCCACAGCCAAACAAAC